AGGTTGTCTATTGGCTCTGATGATAGTTTCTTTGGCTGTGCAGAAACTTTTTAATTTGATCAGGTCCCATTTATTTGTTTTTTGTTGTTGCTGTGATTGCCTTTGGAGTTTTCTTCATAAATTCTTTCTATAGGCCAATGTCTTAAGAGTTTTTTGAACATTTTCTTCTAGAATTCTCATAGTTTTATACCTTATGTTTAAGTCTATTATCCTCCATGAGTTGATTTTTGTGAGTGGTGAAAGGTGTGAATTCTGTTTCAGTCTTCTACTTGTGGCTATCCAATTTTCACGGCACCATTTATTGAATAAGGATTCTTTTCCTCAGTGTATGTTTTTGTCTGCTTTGTCAAAGATTAGATGGCAATATGAAGACTGTCTTATATCTGGGTTCTCAGTCCTGTTCCATTGGTCTATGCCTCCATTCTTGTGCCAGTACCATTTTATTTTGGTCACTATAGCCTTGTAGTATAGCTTGAAGTCTGGTAAATTGATGCCTCCCAATTTATTCTTTTTGCTTAAGTTTGTTTTGGCTATACAGGGTCTTCTCTGGTTCCATACGAAGTATAAAATTATTTTTTCTAGATCTGCAAAAAATGATGTTGTTATTTTAATAAAGATTGCAGTGAATCTGTAGATCACTTTGGGTAGTATAGACATTTTAAAAATGTTGATTCTGCCAATCCATGAACACGGTGTGGTTTTCCATCTGTTTATGTCTTCTGCTATTTCCTTCCTCAGTGTTTCTTAGTTCTCCCTGTAGAGGTGTTTCGTTACCTGATTCTTGACCTTAGTGTAAGTCCTGTTCAGCATTAACTGAATACATGTTTATTGTGTACCTTATGTGTGAGGCCTCGTATGGTTTTCATATTTTGTGGTATTTTAATATATCTGCATAAAATAATCTAAATTCCCTAAAATATTATTCGATTTAGAGGCAATGCTTGACTTTAACAGCTTACAGCCTCTTAATTTAAAGTCAGAACCTAGAAAACGAGTTTGTTTTTGATAGAGGAGAATGCTTTGCTTGTGCCCAGGGGTATGATGGGAAGGAGTGTAGAATGGATTTCTGGGGCTAGACTGGCAGGACACTAAACCTCACATGACAAACAATTGCAAAGCAGTGTTTATAAATTGAACACATGAATAGTTTTGTGCTTCTACTAACTGTATGTTATAAGTAGGTTATTTGAGACAATCCCTATCCTTGGTACTGTAATGTTATCAAATCAATCGCTCATCTTCCCAACTGGTAAACTTGGTATGGGGGAGGGGAAGGTATGGCATTGACCACCTCTGCTGCCCATTTGTTTTATAATATGTTCAAATTGTTCTCTTGTAATGGGTAGTTAGAGGCTTCATAAAGAAACTCTATTCATATAACACTATTTAGCTTTAGAAATTCCACTGGATGCCTTTCATTCAATTAAAAAAAATGGAGCACCTATTATATGCCAGGCAATCACTACACTGGGCACTGGGAACATATCAGTTCATAAGGCACAAAGCTTGCTCTACGGAATCTAGTAAAATAATGTAGTCATTCTGAAAGAGGGATCAAAATTTTTCTTTTTTGTAATTTGTGATACTTAGTATTTAAGAATGATTTGTAGAAAACATTGAATATACCTGGAAAATGAACATGAGAACAGGAATGACATCTTTTTCCTGGGGAACCCCTTAAGCTATCAGCCTTTATTCTTAGATTTCCTTTGGAAACGACCAATCATGTGACTAAATCCAGTCCATGAATCATACAGACAACTAGGACAGTGACATTTATAAGAATGAACCTGCCTTAAGCTCCTGATGCTATGGAAGAGGATAGCTGAGACATTTAAAAATGTCCTCATTAGCATTTCATTCAAACAATCGGTTTGGAAATTGAAGGAAACAGGGAGAGTATTTTGATCAGTGGTTCCCCATTCTGACTGCACTTTGGAATCATCTAGAGAATATTTTAAAAAATAAGCATGTTCAGGCTTTATCCAAAGATAAAAGCAAATTGGAACCCCTGGAGTGAGGCTCAGGTATCGCTATTTTAAAAAGTTTCCTACTTATATGCAGCCAGGGTTGAGATCTGTTCACTCATCCCAAAGCTTAGAAGACCAGATCCACAGGGTTAAGTGATGCACTCAAGGCCATACTCTAAAATAGAGGCAGAGCTGAGTCTGGACCCTAATGTAATGGGCCTGAACATGTAGTGCTCCAAACATCTGCTTTTATCCATGCTGACCTTGAGGAATCTTCGGATAGTCTAGTAACAGTAACTCTATTATAACTTCACTTAAATCAGTGGTCTCTCTGAGATATCAAAAGCCCATCTTGGTGAGAGAGGGGAAAGCTGGAGTTTCAGGGGTTGAGCCTGCCTTGCCCCTCTCCTCCTGCAACCAGAATACCTCAGTTTTGATCTGTTGAATATATAGGTTTTCCCTGTAACACTTGATATCAAGAAAAAAAGCTAAAAAGAAGCTACAAAAATAGCATGTTAAGGTCTTCCTCCTTCCACCCTTGAGGAATATAATGACTTGAGTTTTTGTTCAATATTGTTTAAATCACATCGCCTATCCTTGAAAGAATATTTACACATGAAGGAAGGTTAGAAATTGAAGGCAATTTAATTATGAGGTTGTTAATTGACATTGGCTCTGGGTTGGCTCTTTCGTTCTGATAACTGACTTTCAGTTTGGCTTTGAGTAACATCTTGGAGTCTCAGTTTTTTGGTTTTTTTTTCATATATAGAACAAAGATATTTTCACTGGCTTGCTGCCAGTATTATATGAAATGATAAATATAATAAGGGATTTAGTGCAAAAAGCAAATGTAGGATTGCTGGATTGAATGGTAGGTCTATTTTTAGTTCTTTGAGAAATCTCCATGCTGTTTTCCATGAGGTTGTAGAGGTTGTACTAATTTAGAGGTTGTACTAATTTGCAGTTCCACCAACAGTTGACCACGGAGTACTACTGAGCTGTAAAAAGAATGAATTAATGCCCTTTGCAGCAATTTGGATGGAACTGGAGACCATTATCCTAAGAGAAATATCTCAAAAATAGAAAAACAAACACCACATGTACTCTCTAATAAATTGGAACTAACTGAAGGGCACATATGAGCATAAAGGGAAATAAAAGTCATTGGAAATCAAGTAAGGGTGAGGGGAGGGGCAAAAATCTACCTAATGAGTATAGTGAACACTATTTAGGAGATGAGCATACTTATAACCCTGACTCAAGCATTACAAAAGCTATCCATGTAATAAAAACATTTGTACCCCCTTAATATTTTGAAATAAAGAAAATCAAAAACAAAAGCAAATGTAAAGCACTAAATGTATCCAACATGAAGCATGTGCTCAAAATATATTAGTTTCATTTCCTTTTAGTTGACAGAAATGGAAAGGTTTCTGTAAAATGGCGATAGGCCCAAGAATTTAGTACTTAAAAAATTTTAAGGTTGGCCTTATTTTGAGAACTGTTGTTTTTGCTTAGCACCTTTAGAAAATATAACCTTAGAAGACCCATTTTTATGTTACTTTGGCATATCACAGTGCTTCCCTTGTACAAAATGCAAAATAATTCAGTTTCGAGATTATTAATATCTGCGACACTATTCACGGGCCAGGTCCTAATTCCTTCTATATCTACCTGCCACACTTCCCAAGTAACCCAACCAATATAAGGTGAATTAAATCACCTAGAATATATATCCTCTTTTTTTTTTAATTTCAGCATATTATGGGGGTACAAATGTTAAGGTTATGCATATTGCCCATGGCCCCTCTCCCCCCTTTTTATTAGAGGCATGTATTTATAATAGATTGTATTGTATTTATAATAGATTAGAGTAAGCATGCATTTTGGCAACACTCAAAGCAATTAAAAATGATTTAAAAGGCAAAAGGACAAAATTACTGGAGATGAACTACATCAAAGTAATCTAGTTGTTCAATTTTTTATTTAATCAAAAGCCTCAATTTAACTTTTTGTATTAACTTTGAAGAGGTGTAAACTGAACAGTTGAGAAGGCCTTTGGATGATTTATTCATGTTCTGCCATGTTTATGTATCCAATTTAAATTTAAATTTCACGGTTACCCAGACTACACAAATGTAAGAATGGACAAGCGGGTTCACTTTAGGCACGACGGTTGTGAGTGATTATGCTAACTGCTAAAATAAAGGGATGAAAAATAGTGGAACAATTGCCTGTGAAAATAACCTAAACTAATGTTTAGATCTGCCCTACTACTCAACTCACTGCCAAATTTCCATGATGCTACTGACTTAACTGCCTTTGAAGAACTCTGCCAAGAGACTTCTCCTATCTGGGGGAAGAAAACATAGGGAGTCCTTTTCCATGAGCTAAGAACAAATCTCAAGTTAACAGGATCCAGATAAAAAGGCAGTAACAGCTGACAAGACTGGTGGACCGTGTGAGCTTGTGAGCTTGCACATACACACAAAGAGCCATGGCCCTCAGATTCTATCATATTCAATCCTGAGGCTGGCCCTTCTCTTTCAAGCATCATGTGCTCATTTTAAACAGATGTCAGACACAGTTTTACCACACAGATGGAACCAACCATTTAAACCAAATTGCCATGCCAAGTCTGTTTGGGAAAAGGCTATGTATCTAGAAAAGCACATTTTGTAGCCATATCATGATTTCAACTTAAATTCCTGTTACCCCTGACTACAGAATGACTTTTTTTTTTTTTATAACCAATGAGATAGATTAGCAAGAAATAGCCTATTCTAAGTTTACTAGAAGTGAGAATTTTTTTTAAGTCAACACACACACACACACACACACACACACACACACACAGATGAATCTTGAAAAATCTTCGAAGAATGCAATTAGACAGTAAGTTAATTCCTCATCCCCCAAAGTATAACTGTATTAACAATCCTTCCTTAAGTGGATATACTGGAAGGCAAACTGTTTTCCTGCAGTGTTATTTGGTTATTTTGTTATTTTTGCTAATTCTTTTCCACCTACCTTCACCTCCACCAAGCTGCTGGCTCCTTACATCCTTCCTCCCTCCAAACACACATTTTCCTCTTTATCAGCACTGATGTCATACAGGTCTGGATGTGACACACTTGATTTTTCAGGTATGACTCTCTAACACAGACCTATAGTTGGAGTCAGAAGCTTGGCATGGTCTTAGGGAGTCTTGTACTGTGTCAAAGATACAAAAGCTGGATAAAGTACCTAAAGATGAACTCAAGGACATCATATGCTTACGAAGTTGCACCGAGGTCTGCCAAAGACAAACTTTGAAAGATTGCCAAGGAATCTGAACTTAAGTGGCAAGGGCCTTTTGTTGACTCAGATTTGCTACTGTTCTCTGTGGGTGGATGGTTAACTGAAATCTCATAAGCTATTCCAGGGAAACATTGGGGGGTCCAGAAAGATGAGATAAAGAATAATGATTGCCAATGAAATATTGGCTCTACTATCTCCTCTGGCCATTTTCATTTTCTCAACATATTGCCTCTATTTTCTGTAATTTTTTTTCTTTTAAAATTTTGTGCATTCTGAAGCTTTAAAAGTCAAAACTGTACCATGTGCACATTGAGGAAGTTTCATTCCACACCTGACTCTGTCTACCCTGCTTCCAATCTCCAGAGGTAACTGAAAAAGTGAGAGTCCTCTTCGTGTTTCTCCAAGTGGGTACACACAGTCTAAGATTTCTTAGTTACAAGAGGGGATGGACGTGGAATGATCTTAAAGCAGGCTCAGCAGGGATCAGCGAGGGCTTCCCTAGGAGAGAGGCTCTTATTCTGTGGGGAGGGAGAGGGACACAGGTGACAGCTTAGTATGGTTCACTGGATTTGAAGGGAGATTTAAGTGTAAGTGTTGTGTCAGTGGTATTTAAACACTTTACAATTTCTTGATGTCATTTTCTATGAGATGGGAAAGAATAGTAACTAAAACACATATGGGTCCAATACCAATGGCCTCGATCACATTTTGTTAGTAACTTCCCCTTTGAGAAATGAAGGATGAATTATCAGCCCTTATGCTGAGGGCTGGAAAGGTCTTGTGAGTCACAGTTTGCCACTTAAATTGTAAATCATAAAAGGAAAATCTTGGTTTATACTAGTTGGCTGCAACTCAGGCTAAAGTCCATGAGGGAAAATGTTAATTAATCAATTTTTTTATACACATATGTGTATCTTTACTGGATAAAATGTGTGTCAGGGGAAGTTCTCATTATGTAAGCTTCATCACTGGACTCTCAGGTCTTTAAAGGCAGGGGCCAAGTCTGTTTCATTCACTTGGTGTATATCTAGAGTCTAGCACTATGATTGACACACACTTGGTATTAATATTTAACAAATAATCATTGAATGGATGAAAAAGTCAGATGGAATCAGCCTACTGGAGAGTTGTCAGTAAGCATTTGTTGCATACAGGGGTACATTACTGGGTCCTCAGGAGAAACAGGAAAAGCAGGAAAGAGAACAGATCCCTGTTTCTGGAATGTATAATCTAGATGTAGCATGAGTTTATGATTTTTGACTTAAAACAACAAAATTGAGCTATTTAAAGAAAAAAGGCTCAGTTAGGAAAAGATTTTGGCAGGGCGATTAAAGAGGGAATGAATGGTAGGAAAGATTCCTGAGAAAGATCTTCAAGAGCTTTGCTAATTAGAAAATGACTGAGGAAGGAAGCAGTTACTATCAAAGCAAGGGAATTTCAAAGAAGGTGGGATCTGATAATTTGGCTTTGAGTTCCACAGTGTCTAAACTCAGTTTAAACTAGGAAATAATTTACAAAATGGACTTAGGTTTAGAATTTAGCATCGTTGTAGGAGGCTAAAATATTTTGTGAAGTTTGTGATTTCATTAAGGTGATTTCACACCATTATAAAAATATTTTCTTTCTAAAACTTTGGGGTGCTTCTTAAAACAGTTGCAAGACATATTCTAGAACACTGTGGTCTAGAAGGAGAAGTTATGAACTATGCATTAAAGAAGTGTACAATGCAAAGTTCCAAATTGGATCTAGCATAATGTCTAATAAAATTTATTTTCTAGGTATAATGGAACATGCCTATAGTCCCAGCTACTTGGAAGGATGAGGAGGAGAGATTGCTTTAGCCCAGGAATTTGAGACCAGCCTGGGTAACATAGCAAGACCTTGTTTCAAAAAAAGTTTTTTTCAATAGTGCGAAAGATAAGGCATATCAAATAGGAAAAAAAAATCCTAAACCAAATAGAATGGAAAACTCATTGGCAGAGTGAAAGGGAGAGAGTACTGGGTGTTTGTGTTTGATTTGTATATGTGGACAGGTGTTTTCTTGGAAAGTTTTCTTCAAAGTCAAACTTTGAAGTTGGCTTCATCACGTGACACGATTATCTGCATCTAGCAATATTTTACTAATTTCATGGAATCCTTCCTCTTTGCTTCCATACCACCACTCATGCTTCTTAACTTCAACTTGGCAAATTTATCATGACCATTTTTTTCCACATGCATGAATTGTTCTTAAATAGCGACTTTAGTGTGCCAGGTATAAACATCCTTACATATCTAACTAGAGTTATATAAGCCAAACTATTTAATTTCAGAGAGATGACCCTCATTTTATTTGGTAAAATGTTATTAATAACTACTTTTCCACTCAGTTCCAATGGATTTGGAGAGAATATGAAGTTCTAGAAGTACATTGCACCCTAAAGGAATGAGATCAGTTTTGCCATGTACTAAGAATTGAATGTTTCCCTTATTCTAGATGCGTAATACATGGTATTCATCCTTAAAAAAATATTTGTTTCTCTGATGTTCTTTAGGAAATGGCTGTGGATTAGAATAAAATAAGAACACTATCATAAAATAAAAACAGAGCAAAGGTATATATTTTCATAATTACTGATGGGTTACATATCTTAGATGAGGACACAGATTTCTATATTAGAAGGCTAAAAGGGTTAAATCAAGAAATAATAGTTTTTTGAAGAAAGAGGATATGGGAAGAAAAAAATTTGAAAATTCTGATCATTGGGAGAATAACCACACTTGCCCCATGTTCAAACATTTCCTTTATAAGTGAAAATACTCTAGTTCTCAACATTGATTTTTCAGGATTTGGGGAAAAGCAGAGGAAACGAATACCAGACTTAAATTTTCAGAAACACAATCAACATTTTCAGATCTAAGCAGTAACGATAGAAAAGGCAAGAAGATTGTTCTGAGGTCTCAGGATCCGATCTCTAATCTAATCATCAATAGGAACCTGATTTCACACGACTTTCTTAGAGCTCTGAAAGTTACATTTGGGTGACTAACCCTTAAGACATCATCATAGGCAAAAAGAGTCAATATTTGGGTTTCCCCCTTCCATGATATGGCCCTCCTCCAAGTTACGAAAATGTGTTCTTAGAATTCCAGGCAGACCTTGCTAGATTGGAATTGTTCTACTGATCCAGTCCTTAGAATTTACCACCACCCCCCTGTCCCCCATCCCCGAGGACACACACACAGATGAGGACTGACTGCCTATGTCAGTGTGGTCATTGCTGCAGCAGGTGTAATCATCTTAGTCATCACTGTCACCAGATGGCTACAGGGTACAGCAGCTGGCTCACACCAGGGGCCGCAGTGAGACAGCTGAGAGGCTCTGCTGCAACTTGTGGCTCCTGTAACTTGTGAGTGGGCACCATGCAGTCAGAGTCTTACCAGCCACTTGGGCTTTTCTTTCATGCATCACACAAGTTGGCAATGATCAGTGAGGATTTTCTGCTTGATTTTTAGACAACGATTTTTTTTTTTTCTATTTTGTGAAATGTTAGCCACATCAAGTCCATTCGGTGACTTTAGACTGTGCCCTGATTCCAAACAAGTGAATCAGAGTAGAGGATGATGAAACCCTGGGTGACAGATAATCTTTTAATCAGTTTGTTTACCAAGAATTGGCTGCTAGGGGTATGTCATGAAGAAATGATATTGAATACTCTACCAGTTTTTATTACAAGCTGCTATCAAGACAGTTTTTTTTTAAAAAAAAAAGCAGTAAGGAATCAAATTTTTAGTGGTCTTTGGGAGCAAAATTCTTAGTTTTTCTTAGCTATTCCTGACTTCTAGTGATGAGGATTACCAGGATCCATGTTGAAAATTAATTCAAAAGATATTTCGTTGATATTCTTATACTAATTCTTCTCCTGAAAGAACAAAAGCAAATTTTTTGTACCTCTTTTGGGAATTTGAAAAAGGTGGAGAGTTTTAAATGAAAAGATTGGGCAAGAGAGTTTTAAATAAAAAAACATTTGAGAGGGTAAAACATTTTGAATTTAAAAAGGAAGAAATTTTGTTCTTCTTTCATGATTAAATATAGTATAAAATTGATAAACATTTTAAAAAACAAATTTCATTTATTGGGGGAAGGAAACAGTAAGCATATTACTCTTGCTTCCCAGCACAACTTTGGTGGGAGTAGCAGCTAGTTTTATTCCCACCATGATTTATGAAAAAGAATGGAAAGAATGATTTATCAATCATGGCAGAAATGTCCACTCATGTTCCATTGAGCAAAAGTGCCACAATTGAATATGATCATCAAATATTGACTTGATCTATGTGTGAAAATGAGTCTAATATGAATACTTTAAAAATGATACTAATGTAGTTAAAAATTTCCTGTATAGTTTGTAATATTGACACTATAATATGCATAGGGAGTATAAAACTCAGAAAAATATTGCATTGATTGATGTTGATGCTTCATAATCTATTTTAAAGAAACGGGAGAGACACAAAAGTACAAGAATATTTACAGCTGTCATTGCCTGTCACTGACCTGGGGAGGTTCTGTTCCAGCTCTTGTGGTGGATCCAGAGATCCTGCTCCACTTGACATGGTTGGAAATGCTACTTGCCACATGTCATGCTATTTTGCACCCTTTGGCTCTAGCCTATAAAAGCCAAGAGCCACAAGAACTCCAAGAGAGGAAATAATACTTCCACTATTCATATTCCCTATGCAACGGCACAGGCAGATGATTTGTATAATGTTGCAGAGAATTAATATTAATTGCAAGCTAGAACTCAGCTTTTCAGCCTTGAGCACCCATTTGAGAAGGCCAAAGGTCTTGTGTCTAAGTTCTGCTTCAATTTTAATGAGTTTAAAAATAAGTGTTCCTTTCTGCTGTTTTCTGAATGAATATAAGTAAACATGAACAATGCCAATCAAGGAACACTGCTCTGATTTTTGATCTCATAACAATGCTAACCAAAAAATAGTAAAAAAAAATTGTTTTTCAGGTTCTAATGAGGCAGTATATGTGCACATTTGTTTGCTGTTAAAAATTTCCTTTGGTCTACACATCTGCAACCATCCTCTCTTGTGGAATTTCAAGAAGATAATGTTGTTAACATCGATCATTAGAGTCATCATATATAAGTCTTCATCTTCTTTTCATAAAACTCAAGCTCTTTCAGGCTTTCCTTTCTGAGTCAACTCAAATAAAACTAAGATGAACATATGTTCATATGTTGTATATGTTTATCTACTAGTATGACAAGTAACCTAAATACTGAAATACAGACAATAACTTAAGAAAATATTTTTCAAAAAATATAAAAACATATACTACTTGGGGAGTGGATTTAAGTATATGAAGATAGTATAAAATCAATCTCCACTTTCTCTTTTTTCATAATACATACCTTGAGAAGAAAAATTAACAAAATAAAAAAATTAATAAAATAAAAATAAATCCAATAAAAATAAAAAAAATTATCTGTTCCATGAGAGAAAGGAAGCCAAAACTCAATAAAACAGTTTATATGTTCATCATAGAAGATACTCAGTGCTCACTGTCCATGGGGAATCAGCCAGAAGATTCAGAACAAGTTGTTCTCGTGGTTCTTAACTGTGAGGTATGGTAACGACAGGTCAGTTGCATTTGTAAGCCAGCTGGTTTTAAAAAGGTCTTAGCCCTTTGTGAAGCCAATGCATTTTCTTTCTTTCTTTTTTTTTTTTAATATCATTACAATGACCTCAAGGAACCTTAACATATTTCCTTCAAATTTGTGGTCTTGTTAATCAAAGTTCAGCCCAGCAATTATTTTAAAATTAAGTATTTGACCACCATGAAATTTGACCCCGAGTTGGTAGGAAAAGTTGATAATTGCTTTTTAAACTGATGTGGTGCTACATTAATTGATTTTTTTGGTGTTCTTGGAAAACCCCAGCATGCTGATACCTCTTCATAACATTGTATAATTGGATCCCTAAGACTTTTACGAAACGGTTGTTTTCTTTAGTGGTTGTTTATATTTTTACTGTATCTAAATTGTACTGAAGCCAATGTTCTAGTTAAAGCATTCTATTGTAAAACAAAATGAACTATAAACTATCTTCATGTCACTTAGCTGTATAACTTTCCAAATAGACATGCCTTCTTTGGCTACAATAATAAATCTTATTATTTAATATTTGACAGAATAAACACAGCCAATATGGATAGATAGACTGATGGACTGAGAGATACAGACACATGCCATGAGGCCTCTTTATAAGACAAATCACATTTTCTTTTTTTTTTTACATTTTGAAATACATAAAGAGAAACATGTAATGTTTTTGGATGCGGTGCAATTGTATTTGTTAAGATGAAGAGTGAGAAACCCTCTAACACTTCCATGAGTATTTCATTATAGATATTTTGCTGACCTTTAGATATTCCAAACTAGTAGAAAAGAACATACTTAACATCCCTACACAGTAGTTAAAATGACTCATGACCTATTAAATAAGCAAGAAGTCTTGCTTGTATTGCAGTTGTGTTTACCAATCCAAACCTTGCCCTTCTTCTGTGGAGCATGATGTGTAATAAATATTTTTTGATGATGATGATAACTTTAGATACTCCAAACTTTCCCTCCTGACTTAGCATAAAAAGAGTCAATTAAAAACTGCCTGACCTCAGGTTTGTAGTGTGGAACAAACTTCATGTTCAAAGCTCAGGAGAAATAGCATGCCAAGTGAAGCACAAATATTAGTTTCAGCATTAGAATAATTTTTAACCTTTTTTCTTTGAACATCATC